TCCTTTGAAGCATTCGAGATATTTCTGGTTACGAAGGTGCGGGCAGTGGATGCTGATGCCGGCGATTTTGGGAGCGTCCGCTACGAATTAGTGCGGGGCAGCGGCGAACTGTTTGCAGTTAACAAGCAAACGGGCGAGATCTCCCTGAAGCAGCCTCTGATGGTGGCGGACAAGACGTACAGCCTCACCGTCGCGGCCTACGACGGCGGGAAGATGCCGCTCAGCTCGCAGGCTCACGTGCTCATACGGCAAGTCTCTTGGCTTCTTTTTAGCCCATATTGATGTGGTTTATTACTGCATTACTGCTCATACTGTTAGTGTTAATTTGGTATTGTTAATTACAACAATGATAAGGATTTGCATTATTACTATAATTAATGTTTTGTTATCCTTTTTAGTGTTATTGCAGTTATTATCAGTTATTATTTATCATCATAAATACAATTATGATAATAATAACTATAGTAATAATGATAATGATAATGGTAATGATAGTAATAATAGCAATAATAATAAAAATAAAAATGATAATAATAATGATCATAACAATGATTATGAATATGATTATGAAAATGATTATGAAAATGATAATTATTATTGTTATTATCAATATTATAACTATTACAGTTATCATTATTTTTGCTGTTATTGTTATTGTAATTATCACGTCACTTTTTGCTGAAGCTCCCCGCTGTGCCTCTCCTTCCAGAGTGGTGTCCTCGGAGGGCCCTGTCTTCACTTCAGGCCACTACTTGGCGTCCATTCACGAAGACGCTCGCTTGGGGTCGCCTGTGCTGAGGGTCGAGGCCGCCGGTTCTTCGGGCGCGCCCCTCATGTACACGATTGTTGCGGGGAACACCCACGAGGAATTTGCTCTCGAGTACACTTCTGGTGAGGAACATGCAGGATTTCAAGTATATGCTTGATAGGTATTAAAAGCAGTATTTTTATGGACAAATAATAGCTTATTAATACAGATTACAAACAAGTCAATCTTTGTCTTTAAAAGTATACAAACGCGCGTGCGTGCACAGACACGCGCAGGCTCACGCACACACACGCACAGGCACACGCACACAGGCACACACACACACACACACACACACACACACACACACACACACACACACACACACACACACACACACACACACACACACACACATACACACACACACATACACACACATACACACACATACACACACATACACATACACACACACACACACACACACACACACACACACACACACACACACACACACACACACACACACACACACACACACACACACACTTAAATGTATACACAAATACACTGGTAGATCGGTATACAAGTAGATATAGTTCTATAATTGTAATAACATTTAGTTGCTCCAAAACGTTTCTTAACTGCCTGTATCTGCTTTCCCAGGTATAGATACAAAGGAAAACGAGTGTAAGTATACCTAAATTTGCCGCCATAATTATGGGGAACAGAAACGTTCATGTCCTTGTTTGATTTTCCAATGGTGATTTTTTTCCTCTCCATAGCAAAAACAAAACTCACTAACATATGAGGTGTTACTGACAGAGTATACGTTGCGGGACGATATACAGTGCAGCCTCGACATTAGCGGCTAAGATGTAAATGGGAGAAACTGCAAGTAGTCTGCGAAGTGGACTCTTCCGAGCCCTATCCTATTCTTAGAATCCCTGTGGTACAGTCTTTTTGTCAAGTGCAGTGTTGTAGATAGTTTAATACGGCACTGACGGGAAGAGAAGGTTATAAGTAAATATCTACATACTGCTTAAATGCAGCCAGCAGTCACTCACTCAGTGAGGCAAGGCACAAAACCATGGCCCAAGCTGCAAGTCAAGGTCACGTTTTCACGGTTGTGTTGATTCGAACATGGCTATAATGCGTGCTGGAGTATGATAGGCTGGCAAACACACGTAGCTCATCGATCTACGTTATGGTTCACCTAGTCGAGTATGCTGAATAAAACGACGTTGGGGCTGGATTGAAATACTTAATTCTCAAATTAAGTAGCTTTTTTATTTCAATATATATTTCTTGAAACCTGAAAATACTTTTGTGTCGTTTTCGGGTGCTTAATTTGATTACAGTACACTTGTTATCTAATATCCGAAAATCTCAATTTTGTGGTTGCAGAAATAATGGTTTAGTTTCTGGTCCTGAATTTGACAGTTTTAGTGGATCTGTACCAGGCCTATTCATTTCATTCAAATTCCGTTATTAATATCCTGTGAAATAGTTACTGTTACTTAGCTAATATTTACAATTACAGAAATTCCGTATTTATACGAAGTTACTTTGCACAGCACAAAACCAAGGGTTAAAAAAATAACCTGGATGGAATGGCAAGAATACATACCATGTCCACTGTTGTTTTTGTTGCCATTGTCTTTACACATAGATAGCTTCACAAGTGCTTAATCACCAAGGAGTCACTTATTAGTCCTACCTACCTGTTTGCCCTTTCCCTTGACTTTCGTAAAGATTTTTATTAGTAGTATTGTTAGTAACATTCTGGTAATTGTAATGTCAGTAACACACACACACACACTTAAATGTATACACAAATACACTGGTAGATCGGTATACAAGTAGATGTAGTTCTATAATTGTAATAACATTTAGTTGCTCCAAAACGTTTCTTAACTGCCTGTATCTGCTTTCCCAGGTATAGATACAAAGGAAAACGAGTGTAAGTATACCTAAATTTGCCGCCATAATTATGTGGAACAGAAACGTTCATGTCCTTGTTTGATTTTCCAATGGTGATTTTTTTCCTCTCCATAGCAAAAACAAAACTCACTAACATATGAGGTGTTACTGACAGAGTATACGTTGCGGGACGATATACAGTGCAGCCTCGACATTAGCGGCTAAGATGTAAATGGGAGAAACTGCAAGTAGTCTGCGAAGTGGACTCTTCCGAGCCCTATCCTATTCTTAGAATCCCTGTGGTACAGTCTTTTTGTCAAGTGCAGTGTTGTAGATAGTTTAATACGGCACTGACGGGAAGAGAAGGTTATAAGTAAATATCTACATACTGCTTAAATGCAGCCAGCAGTCACTCACTCAGTGAGGCAAGGCACAAAACCATGGCCCAAGCTGCAAGTCAAGGTCACGTTTTCACGGTTGTGTTGATTCGAACATGGCTATAATGCGTGCTGGAGTATGATAGGCTGGCAAACACACGTAGCTCATCGATCTACGTTATGGTTCACCTAGTCGAGTATGCTGAATAAAACGACGTTGGGGCTGGATTGAAATACTTAATTCTCAAATTAAGTAGCTTTTTTATTTCAATATATATTTCTTGAAACCTGAAAATACTTTTGTGTCGTTTTCGGGTGCTTAATTTGATTACAGTACACTTGTTATCTAATATCCGAAAATCTCAATTTTGTGGTTGCAGAAATAATGGTTTAGTTTCTGGTCCTGAATTTGACAGTTTTAGTGGATCTGTACCAGGCCTATTCATTTCATTCAAATTCCGTTATTAATATCCTGTGAAATAGTTACTGTTACTTAGCTAATATTTACAATTACAGAAATTCCGTATTTATACGAAGTTACTTTGCACAGCACAAAAGCCAAGGGTTAAAAAAATAACCTGGATGGAATGGCAAGAATACATACCATGTCCACTGTTGTTTTTGTTGCCATTGTCTTTACACATAGATAGCTTCACAAGTGCTTAATCACCAAGGAGTCACTTATTAGTCCTACCTACCTGTTTGCCCTTTCCCTTGACTTTCGTAAAGATTTTTATTAGTAGTATTGTTAGTAACATTCTGGTAATTGTAATGTCAGTAATGATAACAACGACATCAATCAGTTCTTCTAATTGGCTCCTTGGTGGCTGAGCACTTGTGGAGCCATCTGTGTGCAAACAAATTTCACTACAGAAAACTACAGGTGACAGTGTGGCAGGATTGGGTTAATAATGGTGTTAGTGAGTAATGAGTAGGCAGTTCACTGGCCCGATCTGCCTACACTGAGAAGCAATACACCCTTTTCTAAAGTGGACACAAACCAAATCAGGTTTTCAGTTGCCTTTGGAGTTAAGCTGTTACTATCACTGAATGATAATTATATCATAAAACAGTGTAACTGTCCGGTAAAACACACACACACACATACACACAAACACAAACACACACATACAAAGACACATATGTATGTATGTACGTATATAAATGTATATGTGTGTGTTTGTGTGTGCGTGTGTGTGTGCGTGCGTGCGTGCGCGTGCGTGCGTGTGCGTGTGCGTGTGCGTGTGTATTTGTGTTTGTGTTTGCGCGTCAAAAAGAAAACAGCCACAATAAGAATGGAACTAAATCGTAACGTTTTAAATTCGTCAAGAGTTCCTCATCAGACGGATAAATAACCGAAATGGATGCACAATGAATGGAAATTTTCCTTCTGCTTGTTTGGATATTCAAGATTGTTTCTAGTTTCTCAAGCTGCCCTAGAGCAAAATCTAAATCATCGACGAGGGAAAGAAATCAGATATCAAAATGCATTTGTGCAATTATCTTTATACTGAGGGTAATATTTTTTCAGCCATCATGGAGTTGAATTGTTTAATAAGGGATGTAAGACTGTTAATATTTGCTGTAGAATAATAATAATAATAATAAAAAACTTGTTAAGCCAGCCTGTAAATGGTAGAATTTTTCGTGATGGATTATGGAAGTGACATTATATCTTTGGGAAAGGGCTAAGCCGTCCGTCCGATGGTGTAAAGGATTTCTTTATTTAGGTCATAAGTCATTCTTTCCAAGGAAAATTTACAAAATTGCTTCTCTGTGTAAAATAATGTCTTAGGTCTAGTTAGTCAGAAAGGTTGGATTGTTTATTCTATTTAAAATAAATAGTGTTTTATTGCTTGCACGTTAACTGTTCTAATATTCACAATCTTAGCTTTTAGGAAGCCATTTTAGGCCCTGGTTAGTTTTGCGTTGTCTATTTGTTATTGTCCAAACATTTCGTGTGTTGTCTTACATCGAAAGGGTTAGTTATAAATGAAAACGCTGTCATGACCAGTGTACTGTAGTCCCTTGTAGGTGTACTGCTATACACCTGGTAACACTGTTGTGCGAGGTGTCCAAGAACCGCTACTATAATTATGCTAAGTTACTTTCTGTTACCACGTGGCCATTGTGGAAATCAACAAGTGCAACTGTGTCGCGCGACCCTGAAATCCTCGAAATTAAAGGTGCCTTTGATTTCAGTTGCGATGCAATAACTGCCAATCACATATTATTTGAATGATGAATTGGTAAAATAATGTGTTTAACAGCGATATAAATGTTGCTGTTTCACTTATGATATGCAAGCACTGGCTTTGAACACTGACGCAGGCAACACCAACCTTTCAGCTTACCTATTTCTTCACCAGCCGACAACAAGCTGGAGCTCCCTCCCTCCCGTAATCATATTTTAAGAAGAACTAAATTTAATGATGTCAAAATCTCATGCGTAATTTTCTAATTATGATTACAATTATGGTTATTACTACTGTTGTACTGCAGTTGGTAGTCAGCACGTAATCATTGTGTCAGGTAACAGTATATTAATAATTAGCCATTGTGGATTTCACATACATATTTATGTACACAGAAACTGTGTCGAGGAATATATAACATTTCCCAAAGTGGTTCCATTTTAATGGTTGGCGTGGCCGCATTGTATATTGGGCGTAGCCGTTTCCAGTAAACATTCTAGTGTATTACCGTCTCCTTTCCACTTTCCCGTGCCCTGGTTTATCCCCGCCCCTTCTTCCCAAAAGCACTACGTGCATGTCAAGTTGTGGTCAGCATATTTCTTCTTGTGCTGGCTTTATTAAGTCCACAGGATGTCTTTCTCTGTGAACCTGTACTAAAACCTTTCTCACTATTACCACCAAAACTTCACAGTCAGTCAGTCTCTCTCTCTCTGCTCTTTTCCTTTTCTTCGTCTTCCTTTCACTTATTATAATCATAATAATTATTAGTTGTTGTTTTGCTGTTGTTATTGTTGTTATTATTATTAATATTATTATTATTATTTCTGTTGTTAATATCATTATCAGTATTGATATCGTTATTTTGTTGCTGTTGTAGTTATTATTATTATTATTATTATTATTATTATTATTATAATTATAAATATTATCATTGTTATTATTACTGTTATTATTATTGTTATAAGCATGATCTTTCACAGTAAAAGTATTGTTATTACATCCACTACTCCATTTTATCATTACTTATAATATCGATGATGATTATGATAAGATAGCTGAAGGCGGACTACACGGATCACCAACATGATGCAATGTATATGATACTGTAAAGGTTAACTTAAAAGACCTCAGTATTGGAACTTCCAACACAGCAGTTATTGCTCTTTGATGTTTCTCTTAAGTGAGCTTTGGTTTAAAATGATGCAACAGATATATGAAAGAAAGGAAAGGAGACACTGGTGGATTCTATCAGCATTATCCAACAGACTTAGAGCTGGATTCTTCCATATCATGTTCGGAACACGTCGAGGATATAAAGAGAAATTTCTTTCGCATTAATAAATGTAAGGAAAGGCCTTCAACGAGGTGTTGAAGATAATATAAAATAATGATAATGGCACTAATGATGTATACAATAACAAGGATTATAAGTATAGAGGCTATAATAGTAATAATAATACATTGATAGTGATAATAAAAACGATTATGGCGCAATGATGATATGATGAAGTAATAACAGGGATGAGTACAATGATGATCCGCATTATATTGCTACTGTGTGTGAGGTAATACTTATGCCTGGAACTATAATCCTTGTAACTGCGGATTTGGAGGCAATTCACTTGGCGTATCGTGGGTGAGTCGACAACAAAAGTATAAGATAACACGGGCGTGCACATCACAGTACGAATCTATGATAATCCTATTCTAGTTCTATTATCATTATTATTATTGTCTTAGTTGTAGTTTTTCTTCGAGGCAAGTACACGGCGTAATCATCATCATTATTATTATAATGGTAATTGTGATAATCATCATTATTATTATTTATATTACTAGGATTAAAGCTACTACAACAATATTATTATTATTATCATTATTATTATCATTATTGTCATTATTATTAATATTGTTATTATTATTGTCATCATCATCATCATCATCATCATCATTTTTGTTTTTATATTGTTATTGTTATCATTATTATTGTCATTATCATTACCATTGTCATTATTATCATTATCATTATCATTATCATTATTATATATATTGTTGTTTTTATTCATCATAGAACGGTTAATTCATTGCTGAATTGCCGTGGTCCTCCAAGCATCTCTATTCTGTGAGAGTCTACAAATTTCAGCAAAACTCAAGCCATCGATCTCTTTGATGCTATCACTATAGATTCTTAACAAGTTTTCGCAATGATCACTTGGGAATTCAATGTCATCTAACTTAATTATCACACCAAATG